TAAGATTCTGATATTATTACTTAGTTCTTCCGGTTAGCTTTTTATTCGGTGTGGAGAGGGAGGATTTGATAGGCAGATAATGAAAGGGGGATTTGGCTTCTTATATGAGAGATCCATAGAGAGTTTTTGGCTAAGCATTAGGTGAAAATTGAATCATCAGCTCCAAGTTATTGTGATCTTAACATTTGAAATGGAAATATACACAATTTTGTAATGTTTTGATGTGATTACTATACTCTCTTTTGTGTTGACTGCTGAAGAAAGAAAGAAAATGAGCTTTTATGCATTTGATTTTCCTATTCTAAAGCTATTCCACACCCGGGGCATGGCCTCGCGGTCCATGAAGTAGGTGAAACTCATGGAAAATTAGGTTGCAAATTTCAATAGACACAAAAAACTCTAGTTATTTTCTTTTCATCTACTCTAATTCTTGGTCGGTAGGATTGCTAGTGTTCGTGTTAGTGAAAGGTAGGAGGTACTTGATGGAACACTGGTGGTGCGAACAAGCCCAGTATTATCTCCACCATGGGGTTGGGGGAGGTGGTGTGATGCAAACTTCATCCATACCTTGGGAGAATAGAGAGGTTGTTTCCAATAGTCCCTTGGCTCAGGAAAGCATAAGCACTACATTAATGAAAAGGCCAAATATATCGCCAACCCCTTAAAGTTGTCCTCCCTTTTCACTTAAACACTCAATCTTAATTTGTTCCATTTGAACACTTTAACCGGGCCTTTACTGTGTCATTCAGACACAAAATTCATAGGCAGCAAAATACAAAAGGTGCTGAACAAAACGAGGACGCGTGGTTTAACTTTAAAAAAATAAAAAAAAACAATAAATACACAAACCTGGTCTTTTTCTTTTTTCTTCTTCTTCAATCTTCCTTTCCGGCTAAAACTATAGAGAGTTTTGACTGTTAATACAAGATTTCAGAACCAAATTGACGGGAGAATAATTTTTTGGTGACAGAAATCATCGATTAATGTGTGACATTAGTCTTACTATGTCAGCATTTTGTGACTAAATGACACGACAAAGGCCTAGTTAAAGTGCTCAAATGGAAGAGACTTAAGATTGAGTGTTTAAGTGAAAAGGGAGGACAGCTTTAAGGGGCTGACGATGTATTTGGCCTAGTGAAAATTTCGACAAGAAGAGACATTACCAAAAAGCCATATAAGAGATTACCAAAAAATTATATAAGAGCAGAATAAAAACAACAAGATAGTGAGGAGATCAACAATGAAAGAAAACAACGATTAGTCATAAACGCTTACTACCAACTGAAAGCAGACTGCGTGGAAATACTACTATTATGAACACTCTGGACTACCCTAATCCTCCAACTCTATACATTCCTATCAAGGATCATGTCCTCGGTCAACTAAAGCTGCGCCTTCTCTTGCCAAATCACCTCTCCCCACCTCTTCTTTGGCCTGCCTCTACCTCTCCGTAGGCCCTCCAATGTCTACCTCTCACACCTCCTCATCCGGGCGTCTGTGCTCCTCCTCCTCACGTGGCTAAACCACCTAAGGCGTGCTTCCCGCATCTTGTCCTCAATATGGGCCACAACCACCTTATCGCGAATAACCTCATTTCTGATCCTTTCTAACCTGGTGTGCCCGGACATCCATCTCTAATACCTTCATCTTTATCTTGACTGACCAACACTCAGCCCCAACTCTAACCACCACTATGTTGAACTTACCCTTAAGTTTCGATGGCATCTTCTTGTCACACAAAACACCGAAAGCGAGTCTCCATTTCATCCATCCCACCCCAATACGATATGTGACATCTTTGTCAATCTCCTCGTCCCCTAAATAATGGACATACAACCAACCTTACTAATTTAATGAAAAAAGTAATTAATTTAATGGACATACAACCAACCTTATTAATTTACTTGTGCATTTCCATGATGAAGAAGCCATGATTTTGGATGTGTTCATGGTAATAATAGTGTCCCTTTAACAACAACATTATAATTTTAACAACAAAGAGGAAAACAAAGTTTTTAAACTTTTCTCTCTAATAAAGGAAAGGAGAAAAAGATTAAATAAGAAAAATTATTTCCACAATATTCCTTAATTATGTCAGCGTGATTCATTCCAAAAAGATTCACCAATCATCACTCATAGTTAATACTAATAATCATGCTAATTATAATTAAATCGTTGGGAATATACCAAGAAGTTCTTAACACTTATCAAAATAAATTCAAAGGCCCCATTAATAATTTCAATCTGGTTAAAACTCCCATCCCTATCTTCTTCTCATTATTATTATTATTATTATTATTATTATTATTATTATTATTATTATTATTGATGTAATTAAGTTGAAAAAATCAATTTTTTACCCTACTAATTATTTCACATACCTCTCTCCAAAATTTATCCAATACCAAGCTCATGATTACTGTTTTTTTTTTTTGGAAAATTAAATTAACAAGATATTTTTTCAATTAAATAAACATTCGAAAAATTCATTTTCCATTCTTTCAGGAAATTTATCATTGAAAAATATAATAATAATAATCATTTTTAATGTAGGTTTTAGATAAAATTCTTAATACCGTTTTATAGATGCATACGTCAATATCAATAATAAATTCTCTGAAGCCATTTATGTTGAGTCACGTGAAAATAAATAGCTATAGTTATAAAAAAATGTTCAATCTACTGAAAATAATATCTCAGTCATGAGACATGACATTGCCTATTAATTTACCTTTTTATTTGTTGGAAAGAAATGTATGTATGGTTGAAAATGAAACCCCTTTTCCAGATATGTTATTAAAAAAAAAAAATCTACTTTTTGGAAAAGTTATTTCTCCTTCGATATATTTATATTTATTAAAATGTTTACTAAATAAGCACGAAATCAATCTTCAACGCAATAAATCAAATTGATTGTGGTAGAAACACCAAATCGAACTCATAGAGTTTAAATTCTCGATCCTATCTCTCCGAGGAGTTGGTCGAATAAGAATAAAAAGTAATATATAAAATTTGTGAAGAGCATAGAATGTCTTCGAAACTTTATATTATTAGTAAAAAGGGCAGTCCGATGCATAATATACGTATTCTCTATTCATACAGGATCAGAAAAATAATAGCATATTAAAAGGTATAGTATGGACAGTCTAATCTAATAATATACAATTATGTATATTGAATTTTCCCCTTTTGTAGAACGTATGAGGAAATAGAAAGAATTCTCCTTCCATGACATGATGTTGCCACTGTCATCCTTCCATGTTTGGCCAGTCCTTTTTCTCTTGTAGGAAAAGGTTTGGATTTTTACAAATTGAGGATCGTTCCTTTTCATTCAGTAGCATCCACAATGTAGCCATATGGGTTTGAGAATAGTGCTTAGGGGGAGAACTTTACGGGACAAGTGTAGTGTGTCACTTGTGTTTGCCTCTTCGCGAGGTTGTTCTCTCAATATTTTTTGTATTCTCTTGTATATAGTGGATTGCTCATCTCCGCCGTAGACGTAGGTCGATTGACCGAACCACATTAAATGTTTGTATCTCTTTTTGGTATATTTCTCTTTTGTTGTCTGATTTATCGCCATTCAAGGTTTGCTTTACTAGCTTCCGTATGACAGCTGACTTTTTTCGGTCGTAACATCAACTCCAACATAATCAGTGGCGGAGGGAGAGTAGAACGTGTGGGTTGGGCCGAACCCAGTAGCTTTGGTTCGAATTATGTATTTATCTTAAAAAAATTATTGAATATGTGAAAATTATTAAATTAAAACCTCAGTAACTTAAAAGAATTAGAATTAGAATTCCAAATCCATAAATTTCAAATCCTCGCTCTGCCTCTAACATAGTCAGTATACTATAGCTAACCGATCAAACGAGTTAAATGGGCTTTTATTTGTTATAGAAAAAACTCGTTAACAAATTTTACACGGCTCGAATCTAAATTAGTCGGCATACATGTAATTGTACCAAAAGAAAAGGAAAAAAGAAAACAAAGGTGAAGAAAAATATTAATAACGGTTTGAGGTAAAGGATATTATAGAGTGGAAGAGATGCACCTAGTAGCATTGGGTCGAATTATGTATTTGTCTTAAAAAATTTATTGAATATATGAAAAATATTAAATTAGAACCCCAGTAACTTAAAAGAATTAACCCATAAGTTTCAAATTCTAGCTCCGCCTCTGAACATAATGATTATAATATAGCCAGCCCTTTTAAGTACTTGAATATTGCCTAATTGTTCGGGTTCTTTTATGGTTATTGCTTCTGCGAACACAGTAGCTAAATATTCCCAATGCGTTACGAAGATGACATTATGTATTGCTGCCCTACTAACAAGTTATCTTAACAGTATCTATGAAGTGGCGGACGCACGTGATGGCAAAACCCGCTTCAACAAAAAATAATACTGTATATGTATAAATTACAATTAAAGCTGTGTAAATTTTGTATAAATATTTTAGTAGAACCCACTAGACAACTATAATTTTACGACTAAAGTTGTATACTTTTAAGATTGAATTCGTTTGCAGAAAATCTTAGATCCGCCACTGTATCTATGAACATAGAAAGACCTAACCGATCAAAGAGGTGTAGTATAGACTGATAAATGGGCTTTTATTTGTTATAGGAAAAAACTCGTTAACAAACTTTATATGGCGTGAATCTAAATTAGTCGGCATATATGTATTTGTGCCAAAAGAAAAGGAAAAAAGAAAATGAAAAAAATTATAATAACGGTTTGGAAAAGATGCACGTAGTCCTCAAATGAATAATTGTCCAATGAGAAGATGTCAAAAATATAGTTGAATTGAATATATATATATATATATATCTCTTCCACCCAATCCTAAGCTGTCTCCTAAGTGACCTTCACGATCTCTCCACCATTTTTCTCTCTTATTATTATTGTTATTAAAAATTATTAATTTTAATTATTTCTATTATTATTCATATTTTGCAATAATTAATTCTCACAATATTTGGATCACCACATAACCATTTCATTTTGCACCTCAAAACCAACCCAACCCCTCCAAATCTTTCTCCTTTTTTCTCTCTCTTTTTTCTTGGTGTCTTTTTCTTCTTACCATTGTAGTAATACTTTCAGGGTATTTCTTTTCATTGGATTCTTTTTTGACTATTTTTCAAAAATGACCAAAAAAATTTCTTTTTTTTTTATAAAGGGAGATTCTTTGTAGACTCTCTTCAACATGTTGTTTTTTCTTTTTGGGCTTTTCTAGTTCTGTTCTTTTCTTATCATAATATCAAAATCTATTTAGAACAAAACTAGAAAAAGCTCTTTTCTTTCTTTTTCAAGAACACTGTTTTTTTTTTTAAAAAAAATTTCCTTGGCTGTTGGAGTTGCTGAAAGCAGCAGCAGCAAAAGAATGGGTTTTGATGATAAAAATGTAGAAAGCAAAGATGGGGCAGGAGCAAATTCTGAGGGTAATAAAGGAATTATTGTTGGTGATTCTGACCCTGAGATTGAGAATGAAAGTGTTGGGAATAATAATGATAATAGAGTTAGTAGGCAAATGAGTGAAAGTTCAATTTATACAACTGATCAAGAAGAGGATGATGATGAAACTAATAACAAGATTGAGTTGGGTCCTCAATGTACTCTCAAAGAACAATTTGAAAAAGATAAGGTGTGTTTGTTTCTTCCCTTTTATATTTTCTTGAAATGAAAATCTTTTCTTTTTATAACCATTGTGTCGGGGCCAGCTTTCGCGCTTCAACTAGCAAAAGTACCGGATAACTCTGTCTAGCTTAGACAATTTGAAAGAAATTACATAGTGTTTTTGCCTCTGCTGGAATTCGAACGGGGCGGACGCTGAAAAATTACACTGTATAAGTAAGGCAAAATCTATTTTTTATCTCTATATATTATGTTTTGAATCCCCTTAACACAACCCAAAACATAACTCAGTGGTAAAGGGGATCAAAACTGTTATAAGGTCATTGGTTCTCTATTCCCACTAGCTACAACTATTTTAACATTTTCTTTTTTTTGTACCCCTTGGCTGTAATCCTGCCTCCGCCACTGATTCGAACCTGAAAAAAATGCTATCTTTGTTCCTTTTTAATGTTTATTTTGTGATATTTGTTTTGATTTGATGCAATGTTGGTTTATAGGATGATGAGAGTTTGAGAAGGTGGAAGGAGCAGCTCCTTGGTAGTGTGGATATTAATGCTGTTGGAGGTAAATATTGTTTTTGTTTCAAGATTTGCTCTGTCAACTTTGTTATTAGATTTCTGGTTTTGTTTTTCCTGAGGAAAGAGCAATGTGCATATGTTATTTTTAGGCTTTGTTTCCCTCCTATTGGGGAGTTTTCATCATGTTCTTTCAATAAGCTCATGAAATTTGAAATCTTTTTGCTTTTCTTGCATCTGTTACTGCTTTTAGTTTGCATAATACATGGTAAAAAATATTACTCCATTTGTCAAATTCTATGGATTAGTTCAAACTGCATATTGAAATTTTGTAGGATATCTCTCACTTTGTGGAGGTCGAGCATTAGGGTAGTAGATTAGGGGGTAGTCGAGAGTTCTTCCCTCTTTTTGTACCGGTGTAGTCTAATAGAGTTTTGTTTAGGTTTGTTAGTGGTCTATGTTGTGTTCATATTGTTGTTTTGCATAGTTTTGTGTTATTGTCCTTTCACTTATTCGTTGTTGCTATTTTCTTTCTGACATCTTTTGTTGTTACATCCCCTTTCTTTTGTTTCTTTGTCTCTCCTGTTGAGCTGAGAGTCTCCCAGAAACAGTCTCTAAGATCTGCGTATACTCTAATCTCCCCGGACCCCACTAGTAGGATTTTACTGGGTATGTTGTTGTAGGATATCTTTCACTTTACTCTTCTTTCCCGAAGGAAACGCGCACAAATTTTTGTTTCATCCTCACGAAATGTCTGGTAGTTAATCAGCGTTTAAATTGAAATAGAATGCAAAGGAGATAGTCACAAATTGGACCTATTCCTATATGAAATTTCCAAACGCATCTAAAAAAGGAAAACACAGAAAATTGTGTTGGATCAGTTGCTCTATGCTTATGGTGGGATGCTAAATAGAAATTTGCTTCGGATTGAAGGATTTCCATGCTAATGAGATGAGAATCAAAGAATCAAATAGATCACCCGATAGGTTCTTTATTGTAAACAACTTGGTGGGATCTTCCAGCACAACATCGTTTTTCCTTTTAATTCGAGGATTTTCGTCTTGACTAACTTCATTGGTAAAGAATAGAAAACGGCTAATAGACCGCCTGGCGTGGAGCATGTATCAATTCATGTCTAGTGTCAATACTATTCTCAAGGTCATTGAACCACTCCTACGCTGCTTTCGTTTTCAAGATATGATAAGGTCAGGAATTCCATAGATTTCTTTACTCGAATTTCCTCTATTCGTATATTCATTTTTCTGTGACGCGATATGTAATGTCTCAGCAGGATTCTGTGATTGGTAAAATCTTGATGACCCTTTAAATACATTTGAGAATAATTTATGTTTCTGCGCCAAAAACCAAGGGTTTGATATAAATCTTGATAGTTTTCATGACTGTTGTACAATGTAGAATCCCTGGATCCAGAAGTGAAGATCTTGAGCCTTGAAATTAAGTCCCCTGGTAGATCTGATATTGTTCTCCCTATCCCTGCGGACGGAAATCCCAAGAGCCCATGGTTCGTCCTGAAAGAAGGGAGCAAATACAGCCTAAAGTTTACATTCCAGGTCAACAATAACATAGTGACAGGTCTTAAATACACGAACACAGTTTGGAAAACCGGTATCAAAGGTACTATTCCGTCCCTTCACGTTTCCACCTCTACGTCAATGTCAATTCTTAGGCCTAACTAGTTTGTTCTTGATGTTTTGACTAATGTATTTCCTTTTTTCACAAATGTTATTATAGTGGACAGCACGAAACAAATGATCGGGGCGTTCAGTCCTCAATTGGAGGCTTATACACATGAAATGCCAGAAGACACCACCCCTTCTGGTATTTTTGCAAGAGGATCTTACACTGCTAGGTCAAAGGTAATTTTTCTTTTTCTCATTAATGCTCTTAACATATCTTTATCTAACCATTCAATAAACGTAGTAATCCTATAAACACCAGAAACTGAATTATGAAGCTTCTAGTCTTGTGCACGGCTTAGTTATGAGCAAATCCGCAAGCTTATCATGCAGTGAATTTGGCGAATCTCATACAAGGGGGTACATTAAAAGACTAAATGAAGCAAGGTTAATAGGTTTACTAGAGTTTTGTACACAACATCTGCATTGTAGTAGCAATCACCCTAACTGAAATTTGCTGGTTGTCGGACGCTTTCACATTTATATCTTTTTGGCCCTTTAAAGATAAGGCATCACCAAAAAGTGCTTCTAAGCAATACCAAAATAAGTCCTTCTTCTTGTTATTGCTTTGTACGCAGTTCCTTGATGACGATAATAAGTGCTATTTGGAGATCAACTATACATTTGAAATCAAGAAAGATTGGCAGGAAAAATGAACGACGTCATGACTTGAATTGTTGCCCTCCATACTTAATCTTGTTTTCGTTCGTCACAATTATCTCAGTTTTATTCTGCTAGTTTTACAGAAGAGAAAAAGGAGGGGAAAAGAGAGGCAGAACTACCTACTACAATTGATTACATCAAATGATGAAAGAGGGGTGAACTTGAGTTGGGGTTCTTGTTTTGTTGAGTTATCAATTCAGTTTTATTGAGCTTTTACATGTGACAGATTAACAAAAAGCTCTCTTTCTTCCTTTCATGTGCATAGGTGTGATTGTATTTCTTTTTGAATGTTCTAAAACTGTGAAGATATCTTTTTCAAGAATCTAGAGATTTTGTTCGTCTACATTCTTTTCCTTCCATTTTCTCCTTATGATTTCCATTGTCGTGAGCCGAGGGTCTATCGGAAACCGCCTCTCTGCTCGTCCGAAGTAGGGTTAAGGTCTGCATACACACTACCCTCCCCAGACCTCACTTGTAGGATTTCACTGGGTTGTTGTTGTTGTCGTCGTCGTCGTTGTATGTTCTCATTATGATATTGCATCCTTTTACTTACCTTCCAACCAAAGTTTGTCAAAGTTATGTTCTTTGGCTACTTTTCTCTTTTGACTTTAGTCACTTGTTATTTTCTTTTGGTTGCCTCAACCACTTCCCCCACCTTTTCCTTGCCCATAATTGAACTTGACATTTATGCACTGGCATGATTGTTCATAATTTTTCTGGGTAAAAACCTATAAAAGATTGAAACATGTATGGTAAAACCAGACCCTTTTGGTTCTTGAGGATATATTACTTTTATTGAGATCAGACTCATGTAAAAACCGGGTAAGGAGAGTAGAAGTGTAAGCCCATACATGCCTAGTTTCCCCTCCAAGATCGGGTCCGAACCATGTCGCAGACAAAAACCGGGTAAGGAGGGTAGAAGGGTAAGCCCATTTTTTGTCGAGCTTCGAACCGTGGGCCACTAGTCCTCAGGATTTCTCGGTTATGATTTTTTTTTTTCGTTTTCAGGATTTTGGTCTAATAGTAATAGTGCAATACATGATGTGTAGGTGAGGCTCAAAGCTCGTGTAGAGGGATGGACTAATATCTATCGAGTTTTGTATCGTACGCTACTGACCCTCCAAGTTTTTTGGATTATCTGAAAAAAGTTCTAAATTTTTAAAGGTTGAATACCTATATTTTTTTTTTTTGAGAATGGTAACATAAAATTTGAAACACTATGTTTTGGCAAATACTTTTGAGGCAACCAAAAGATAAGAGTTTGAGGGTGTGTTTGGTATAACGGAAAATGCTTTCCGTGGAAAATGTTTTTCAAGAAAATGCTTTCTTGGAAAACAAGTAGTAATCTTATTCATTTTTCGGTATTTGATACGCAAATTAAGGAAAATAACTTCTCAAGAGTATTTATAAATAATTTAGGCCAAATACCTGTGCGGCCCCTTAAACTTGGCTCCAATTTCAATTTTGACACTTCAACTAAGGCCAGTACCTATTGAACGCTCCAACTAATTTGTAAGTGTACCTATTAAACACATCACTTACTACCGGTCAAAAAAATAAAGTGCGTGTTACTTACGCGGATGAGGTGGCAAAGTGACGAATGATACAAAAACACGTCGCATTTGGGTCAGCATAATCTTAAGAAAAAAAGAAATTTTATTTCCACATAAAATCCCCTCCCCAACCTAAGTAGTTCCATCGTCTCTCACCTCTCTTCCCCGTTCCTCCTCCTTCACCATTCATTGCCAGGCAATCCTCACCCATTTACAAATAAAAACTACTCAATCACTTTCGACCGTAGCTACCATCAACACCGTCTTCACCAAACATGATGCCGATTTAATACTTGGACGAGGCAGAATAGAAAGATAAGAGGACTCACTCAAATATACTGATTTTTCCTCCAAATCTATGGTTATCTTTCCCTTTGAGAACGAATTTCTTGGGGTTTCCTCTTCTTCTTTTTTTTTTTCCTTTATGGGTTTTAATTATTTTACGATTTAAGTTTTTTTGTTAACAAAAATTTAAAATCTTAATTTTTTGATTGAAATTTAAGAAAAATTTAAGTTCCAATTATTTTTATTGAGAGGAAGAATGTCAATTGTTTAAAATCGTTGTGTGTACCTTTGATTCCTCTGTTTATGTTTAATGAAATTGAAGAATCTGAAAGGGAAGTTTTTGTTCTGTGTTAATGGTGATTTTCTCTGTGTATGAGATTTTTTGGTGAAGGTGAGGTGAGACGATTTAGTTTTGGTGAAGCTGGTGGTGCAACTGTATGTGTTTTGTATTGTTGAAGATCATTGTAATATTTTTTTAAAGAAAGACAGAGATATTGAAGCTGGTGATTATGGCGTTTTGGGTTCACTCCACCGTGGTTCACGGTAGTATGTCCTGGAGTTGGTGAGGCCATTTTGGGTTAAAAATGTGTTTTAATAATTAAAAAAAGAAAAACAATATGGTTTTGGTATGAGTTTCACTCGCTTTGGGAAAGTGAGAAACACTTGTTTTTGCCATGTCGGACTTTGTGTTTAATAGGTACACTTACAAATTAATTGGAGTGTTCAATAGGAAATGACTTTAGTTGAAGTGTCAAAATGGAAATTGGAGCCAAGTTTAAGGGGCCACATAGGTATTTGGCCAATAATTTAGATACAATAAACATGAAGTCATAAACTTTTGAACCAACAACCTCCCGAACCCATATATTTCATAAACTTCCGAACTGCTAAACTTTCAAAACCACGAAATTTGGAACCCGTAAACTTCCAAACACATAAACCTCTGAACTCATAACTTTGGAACTTGTAAAATTTCGAACTAGTAAATCGAAAGATGAAAAAATTAAAACTAAAAATATATTAAAAAAATACTTTTTTTCTTCGGGAAGAGGGGTGGGGTGGGATATAGTCGAATTCCAATACAGATACCAGATACCAGGTGGAAAACCAAAAAAAAAATAATAGAGAGATGTTTCTTCTTTCAGACATTTTCTGTGTTTAAGCAGATCATGTACAAGTGTGAGATATAGTGACCAGAAGATAAATAACTAGTCACAAATTAATTACAATTAAAATAATCTTGTAGTTACTAAGGGAAATTTTTAAGTAATGAACTAAGATGTCTCCTGTGAAGTTCTCAACCAATATACAATCTTTATGTCTCGAGTTTGCGCTTTGAGAATCGAATCCTTTTCGTAAGGAGCCCTAACTACTCTGTAGTAAATTTTTTATAATGTGAATCCAGATTAATCGGGTCAAACGTTTTCGGACACGAAATACTTAGTGTTCCTATCTTCTGCACCCTTTTCTGCAATTAACAGCAGAGTCAGATTGACATTTCTATCGTGATTTAATGACTATTATTTATTGGGTTGTAATCGTTATGTATGAGTATGTTAGGTACCTGTGACTCGATTGGTGAAATAATATTTCTCCCCCAAAAAGCATATTTTTTTTTACCGACGCAATTATTGGGTTATTTTTACATGTCTTCCTTTGAAAAAGAACAAGGTCAAAATGATGTTAAGGAGTATAATTAGGTTGGATTTAAATACAGTCAAACCTCTCTATAACAACATCGTTTGTTCTGAATATTTTTGAATGTTATAGCGAAATGATGTTATAGAGAACATATATTATAACATAACATGAAAATTGGTTCCGGAAAAGCTTGACTTTTATAGTGAACTGTTGTTATACAGGGATGCTGTTATATAGAGATGTGACTGTAATAAACTCTTATAGAGTTAAGTAGGTGGGTTAACAATTTAAAAATTGCAAGTAAGTCAAACCTCTCTATAGCAACCTCGTTTGTTCTAGATATTTTTGGTTGTTATAGCAAAGTGCTGTTATAGAGAACATACATTACAGTCGAAACTCTCTATAACAACATCCCTATAAACAAACCATTCACTATAAAAGCCAAGTTTTTTCCGAGCCGATTTTAATATTACGTTATAATATATGTTCTCTATAATAACACTTCACTATAACAACCCAAAAAATATCGGAACAAACAAAGCTGTTATAGAGAGATTTGACTGTATAACATAACATGAAATTTTGGTTCCGAAAAATCTTGACTTTTATAATGAAGTGTTATTACATAAAAATACTATTATATATAGGTCTAACTGTACATGCTATCATTAATTATTCTTTTATCCATCGTCTTTCTCTAAGGTATCCCTTTCATTAGGTAAAATAAACGTTTAAAACAAGTATATAATATATGGTTTTATTTTATTTTAAAACATACTACAAAAAAAGTGTGAAGTAAAATGGAATTATTAAAGAAGAAAACTCGAGTGAAATATCGAGGAAATTATTACAAAATGCGTCAGACAACACCTTATTTTAAACATGAAAGTGATTAGGGCAGGTAAGTGCAGATGATAAATATTTCTCTATCTTTATTCATAAGTCTCGAGTTCGGGTTTTAAGAATTGAGTCTTTTACGATAAGGAGCCTAACAACCCTAAAGTGGATTTTCTACTGCGTGAATCCAGATTAATCCGGTCAAACGTTTCCCGACGTCGGATACTTAGCATTCCTATCTTGTGCACCTTTTTCTGCAATTAACGGCAGATGCAGATTAAGGAGAATAATTAGGTTGGATTTAAATATTAAATTAACTCATGAGAGTTAGGTAGGAGGGTTGATAATTTACAAATTGCAAGTCAACATTCAAAATTGGAATGCTTGTTTGAAAAAGAATTGTAAGTTCTCATGGGGTTTCCTGCTACCAATTTTGACAATCATTTTAATAAAACTAATGAAAGTAATGATTAGCACCAAAGAATAGTTGTTAATTACATGGAAATAGGTTGAGTGATCTTTTGGAGTCTATCAAATTACATTGAATTGAGATTTTTTTTTATTAGTGCAATTTTAAATCAATAAAGGAAAAGAGAAATATGTGTTTATGTTATAAATAAAATTCTATTTAAGGTGAATATTTATATTTTAAAGAGATCTTAGGGATTTTATTTGTGGCTAAGTCACTCTTTCCCTATAAATAGAGGGGTACTATTCTATTGTAATTCATCCCAAATCAATAAGAATTCTCTTTCCCTTCTTTTCTATGCAATACTTTTCTTCTTCTTTTTTATTGTTTTATAACATGTTATAAGCACGAGACTCTAACCAATTGAGTAGAAGCTTTGGGATTGTGCATAATGATTGACAATTGTTCCATGAATTTCCTTCGTGATCAAATTCTGGATTTAAGGTAAGTATTTTACTATATTTTTTTCTTTTAAATTCTTGAAATTCTATAATATGATTTTAAATACAAGCAAAGACAATATACTTTGATTATAACTCTAATAGAGTTTGCAAAAAA